CGCGCGCACACACACACATACACACGCGCGCGCGCGCGCGTTCGCACGCACATTTCTACTGTGTCTGCCCCTCTGCTGTCTCCGAGCGGAGAGCGCAGGGCGGGGTACGGGGGGGGGGGGGCGAGGGCAAAGGGGGTGGGGCGTCGGCGGCGGCAGTGCGGAGGGCGAGCGGCAAGGCAAGGCCATTACGTCATCATTCGACAGTTCAATTGTTAAATAATAATTTGATCGGAAGGCTGTGACAACAGACAACTCGCTCCTATAGGAATGGCAAGCAGTGCTGAGGTGCCGCTACCGGGAAATACTCAGGAAAAAAATATGTGCCGAGGAACATGGTGTCGACCTGTTCATTTTCATAATTTTAAGTTCACGTGGTTGAAAAAGATCGTTGCAATCCGTCACCATTGCAAGTATTTAAGAATCACAATTTTTGAGTACTGAAATGTAGGAATAATTTTAGTGACAAAAGTCTGCTACGTGCACAAGGGCATTAGAGAAACAATCAAGAATATCTATAACGAAAGCAGACTGAGGAAATGAACGCAACATTAAGAAGCATGGGAAGGAGGAGTCACTGGTGGGGGTAGCTGTGTGGGGCTGACCGACTGGGGGTGCTTGTGCTGACGCCAGTGATATTGCTGTATATAAGGCACCAACCCACAGCACTCGGCGCTCTTCTCTGCCCAGATTCCCAGCTGAAGTGAATCTGGACAGAAAAGAATTATATCACTCCTCCATGTTCTCCCTAGCCACATGGGTGCTAAGGCTGCCCTGACTGGTGCCACGCTCGGCCTGAGCAGGTGTCACGCCGCTCCTCTCCTATGGCTTTGTGCTCGGCGGTCAAACGCCAGTAAACAATATAGTCAAATGATCAATATTAAAAGTTTTTTAATGGGCAAGTGAGTGTTATGTGTTTAAGATTGTCTTCTAGTGCAACTTATTATTAAGCTATTTTTATATTTTTATATACAACCTGGTTTCCCTAATATTAAAAAGGAATGGTAAAAAGATAAATGAGGAACATTGTGCTCACACGTCACCGAAAAAAGTTTTTATTGGAATATGTCTGCATCTATAGTGTACGATTATATCCTATTATGGCATGACGCAATGATAGTTATTCATATACTTGTTTTATGTTGTAGTACATGAAGAAAAGTGTGTACTCAATAAGGCTTCCTCTGCCCAATACACACAGGTACACTCACACCCATAGACACACTCACACTCAAGCACACACACACACATGCAGGTGCATACATACATAGCATGCATATACACATGCACACACATGCTATTTCCATTGCCTTTATTTGCTTCTTATTATTCTTTCAATATGTAATTTCAAGGTACTTATATTAATTATTTTGTGTACTCCCTTTATCATTCATTTTACGTAAATAAACATGTCGGGTCATAAATATAAACTTTACTATTTATATTAAAAACTATTTCATCAAGTAAAGCAATTCAAGAGGCAACTAACATAAGAACACTGGCATTGAACAGTATATGTTGCCACAGTGTTGTAAAACAAGGATCATTTAAAGAAAAATTTGGGTTGTGTTAAACGTTCTTCTGTTTTTTTTATGAATCAAGAATATTGACAGTTGCTTTCTATTTCTTAATATTACTTTCTCAGGAATGATTGATATATACAAAGTTCAACTATCATTATTAGCTTCTGCATAATAATGGGGTAATATCTTAATTACATCCAAGATTATATTTCTTCAAACCATATTATTCACTTAGCTGTCACACAAAATTTGTAACATGTATAAACACAATGAGTACAATGTGTTGTTAATGAACTATTCTTTGCATTATAGAATCTGAATATTTAATACTGACAAGTAAGTTTTACATATAATTTGATTCTACATGCTATCATCAAAATTTCATGCAGTTACAAAGATGAAAGCATCAATCTTTTAATAAATATATCTGTGCAACTTTGTTACTGCTATGAGAAATATTGGTTTAAGGTTAAAAACACTAAAACACTGTAGAAATATGTATTAGTTGAAAGGGTAGAGAGGTGGGTTAGTGATGATTAAATGTACTACATGTCAAGTCGTCTAGCAGATCAGGGGCAGGATACTCAAAAGATCTTAAACTTAAGGCATGCTGGAGGCCTTAAATGTCCTGCAGCACCTTCAGTTAGGGCCTGTCCAGGGCGATGTATCTTGGACTTAGCTGCATATACAGAAACGTTTTTTCTGGCACCTTATACCCACCTTAAACCCTGCACTGTCACAAATCACTTACAGCATCAGATCTTCAGTGGCTAATTACAGCTGCTGTTTCAGGCTGCTCCTAGGGAATCTTAATCAGCTGATTTTGTAAAGACAATGCTGTGTCCAGCCTGTGGCATGATGAGACCTTTTAACTGATATGTCCCAAAATTAGTAGTGCAGACAAAAAATGTAAGATTCTTAATAAAAAAAAAAAGACTGACGTTATTAATGGAATACATGAGTAACATGAAATTTGTACAAAGTAGTGTTTCCTCGAAAGTATGACCTTGCTCAAAAGGATGGGTAATACTACAAGAGTAATTTTATCTACAGTTTTACAGATAATACTTGGAATAAGTTTTAAATGCTTAACTATATCTATAAAGTAAACCCCCTTTTATCGGAATCATGATGATGTCCATTCACCCACAAATTAAGCTAACAATAATTAATATATTGATATTAACATTAATAACAAAAAAATGTAAAATTAAAACAGTTACATCCAAGGTGAAAATAGCACTGTTTACAGATACAACACCTAGCCTAACCTATTGGGAAAAACAAATCACTGTTACATTTGAATATTACACTTGCTGCCGTATTTAGTAGTCCACAAATTGTAATGTTGTATTAATTATTTTAAGGCTGAAAAATGTTGTTTATGGTTTGCCATAACCCACTGGGGCTGCTTTCCCCAATGCCTTAGTCTACGTTGCCTTAACTTGTACCAATATGGTAGGTCCCTTGCTCTGTGTATGGGTAGCAGGAAAGCTACAGTGCCGTAATGCGTTTGAGTATCTGGCCCCAGGATAGTATGGCATTGAGAGGAGAAAGAGGGGTTAGAGTAGAGAGGATGAGTAAATGGGCTAAGGTAGGGATTAAGAAGGGTGATTATATCAAGGTTTTCAAAGAAAAAAGTGTAGGATTCTGCAAGGATGTCCATAAAGTAACCTATGGATTAGCAAAAGGAGAAAGGGGTTTTAAGGGATATTAGATTACAGTTTCAGTAGAAATGACAGGAGGGAGAGAATCCAGGGAAAGAGGTTGTTGTGACAGAGTCACATGTGTATTGAGGGGTAAGTGGAAGGAATAATGGGGAAAGAAGGGGGAATGATGCAGATGAAATAGGGGGGAATGAAATATGTTGGGAGGAAGGGGTGTAGAGGGAACATGAGTGGGAGGAGAATGGATGTCAGTAGTTACCTTGAGTGTAGAAGGAATGATAGGAGGAGATGAGGTACACTATAGGTAGAGCAAGGAGGGAGAGCAGTAGGTGTCAAGATTGAAGTCGAAACATATGTTAGCAAAGAAATAGATTCAGGGGAGGATGTAGAAATATCTTAGAAGGAAGGGGGAGGGGCAGAGCAAAGGGCAGCACTGGAGTAGGGAGTAAGAGAAAAACCTCATTGATGTGCTTCCTGTCTGGCCACGTATAAAGTGAGCCCAAGGTTGAATCTGTGAAATGCCACCTCAGATTCAAACTTGTGCATGACTGTACAGAGCACTTTAATCAATTATGACCAGGTTGGGCACATGGAGGGCATCAGGTTGGAATGGCAGTGTTTGGTAGGATGGCCTAGACACCAACAATTCTGACATTGATTGGGCGGGGAGGTTGATAGGGTTAGACAGGGAGGGGCTCTCCGTCAATATATAAAAATCATGCAGGAGGTCATGTCTGTGGAAAATAATCTTGGCAATTTTGGTAGAGGACTTACAGCAGCTCCTAAGTGTAGCATTGTACTGATACAATCCATGAGGCAAGAAAAAAAGTCTTCTCCACAGTTTGACCAACTGTAGACATGGCAGTTTGTCAAGGAAGTGAAGACTGTTCCAGTGCAAGTACTGATGGAGTGTTTAGGCTGGGCAGAAATGAAATGCCAGAAATGACTTCACTGGCAGAAATGCCAGTGAAGTCAGTTAGGGTTGATAATGCTTTAGGCTTGGGATTTGGATGTAACTTTGACAAGTCAGGAACGATTGGGTCAGTTGCAGAAGGAAACTTTGCCTACTTGATTTTGGATACATTGCTGGAAGAGGAGGGTTGTCAGAGTAAGGGGCTGTAGAGGGTATCATAATAATTTGACCCATTTAGCTGTACAATATAAGAGTATTTAAAAGGTTTGTAGAGGTGGGGTGCATAGGACTGGTAAAGATGTGGTGGTCAAGGAGATGAAGAGGATGTAGGAAGAGGGATGTTTCCTGGAAGTTGAGTAATGACCTGATGATTTGGACTGGATTGTGGTGACAGTAGCCACTGAGGAAGGGTTAGTACTAGCAGTTTTCAGTCGTAGTTAGAGGAGAGCCTGGGGTTGAAGAACCAGGAGAAATAGAGACAATGGGGTTGAAAACTGCTAGTTGATAAAGGGGCAAGCCTTATTATCTCCAATAGGGGTACGAAATATTCATTACCAGCCATGGTAAACCTCAATATGTTGGGGAGTGAGAGTCCAACCCTATGGGTCCCTTTGAAGGGTACATGATAGACAACTAAACAGGAATACTGTGCCCATGGTTCTCCCAGGCTGTTTATGACTGGCACAGAGGCAGAGAAAAGATACATGTCCAAATTACTATACAAACTTTTTATTTATAATATCTACTACCCTCTCTTTTACATGTTGAGAGAAACAGGCTGGAATAGATGAAAATTGGTATGGAAAGGTACACACCAAAGAAAAGTTAAATTCAGAACATAAGTTCTGACTTCATGTATGTCAATATGTCATATGAGAGCAAGGAATAATTAAATACTCA